CTAGTAGTATGCAAGTCCAGATACGTGCTTAGAAAAAACTTACAAGTCACAGATGTTTTAATCATCATTGACTTAAAAATCATTATAAATATCATATCCATTGTTCATTCAAAATAAGACATTAACCATTCCTTATTCTTATATGAATAAATTTTATTTAAAACTTTGTAAGTTTATTTTTGCACGGTCTTTACAATGAAGTACGCATTTTTCTTGATGGGTTTTCACATAGATGTCTGGATTGGAATCTGTAAGACAATGTTTTGTTTTTACACTGAATATTTTGATTTCAGCTCTTTGGCGTCGAAAACATAACCTTCTGTCAAATTTTTAATTTTATGTCGATAACAGGAATAAAAAAAAAGCATGAATGACGATCTCGTGATTCATCATCACTTTGGTGGTAATCTTATTTCCAAGTGATGTTTACTAATTACTAGGAAAGGATCTAATAGCAAAGCATTTATATTCCATTTCTTGAAACATCATAAAAACGGGCATATTATACATAAATGATGCTACAATGAAGGCTTTTGTTGATTGATTATTTTATGCTTTATGTAGTGGTAATAATTTCAAGCATATTCATCACGATTAATGCATTGGAGTAAGTCAAAGAGATTTAGAAAAAGGGTGTATGGGTTGATGTACACAATATATCATGAATCAGTGTATAGTTGTACAAGTTAAAACCAGCGCTGCATGGTGAACTAACTTAAAGTTAACGTTTTGTAACAAGTTCTAGATTTGAACCGGAGTATTCCTTATGAAAATTTCATTTCGATGGTGATCACAGCATATCTTCAAAATGTTAAATGGCTGTACTGCTGCAGTTAATTATAATATTATGTTTGAGATTTTGCAACGATATGAAACCTATCATTTGTGTAGCTCATCTGTCACTTTAGCGTCATATGAACTATTGCCAATATATGAGTCCGTCGTTGCATCCTTATTTTGCCGTAAACTTTTAAAGTTCTAACTCTCTGAAAACCGCAAAATCAATCTAGACCAAACCAATCACAATCATCACTATGGTGTCTACTATATGTACAAGTCAGCTGAGTTCGCATCTCAAAGAACATGACCGAAATGGCAAAAACAAAATGCAATATTTGGGTAAAATGCAACTTCACCTGAACACTTGATCACAGTAAAAGAAACAGAACATCTGGTAAAGGAAAATGGTCCAGAATGTTAAGAGCTATCTAAATTTTTTGTACCATTATTTTAGATAAAAATTTCCATACGACTCTTGATTGGAATTATTGTTCATATATGATATTTTTGAAAACTGTAATTATAGATAGAAACTGCTTATAGTAAAAATTATCAGCGACACACAATCTACAAATAAGTCCATATAATTGCCATCGATAATTGACTCCTTATATTGCTCCTCATAGATCAGTTATGATTTTAACCAATTGTTGCGTGTTTGTTTATGATTTTGATACTAATATAACAAAGAAACTGCAAAACAGCTAGAAAAGGTGAGGAGTACAGGATCTACATGTACAAAAGTGCAAATATGGTTTAAACCATTAATAGGCTCCTAAAAGTAGTTGTTGTCCATTATGTTTTTCATCCCTGTCTGCATGTTATCGTGAAGATTTACAATAAAAGAATCTTTAAAAAAAAAACAAAAATTATCAACATTTCAAGATTTACAAATGAAACTTTAACGGACTGCTTAAATGGGTTATTGTCCTTAAATGAAGATATTTTTGTTTACTTTTTGTATTATTTAAAAAACGTGGTAAAAGATAGACTAAAAATATCAAGAATAAAGTGATCAGTAATCATATATATAAGATCTACAAATTGGTCAACAGGACCGTGCTCACCAATTGTTATCTTATAAGAGTTGCTGCTTTTAAATGACATATTTTTAGAAATTATTTCGTTTTAGGCTGTTATCTTCCAAAACTAGTATGCTATAGACATAACATATTCCCCGTTATGTCGTATATATACATGTAATGGTGGGGTACTTGGTACATGTGTGAAGAAAAATAGAATTGTTTGAAGTTTTGCTTCTCTTAATGTTAAACTTCATTTTTGTTAAATGCAATGTTTGATTGTTACCTCATGGACAGGTATGATTTTTTATATACATTGTTTTTTGTATTCAATTACTTAAATGTCCTTGGATTTTAAAATTTTGGGTTTGAGCGTTTCTGATGAAGGAAAAATCAAGAACTGCGCTTCAACCACATCAAATTTATAAAGTGTTATTTTCATTTTCTACAGTTTTTTCCATCAATATCTTGTTTGTTCGAAATGATGATTTTTTTTTTGTCTGTTTGTTTGTACATTCGTCCAGTTATTTATGATCTACCCGATTTGTCTCCGTTTTTCAAAACATTAGATATACTAAATGTGAGGTCTTAAAAAGTTACAGACATTTCTCCTTCTCTTTTTGTGTCCGCATGAATTATGTCCATTTTGTCACCCCAAACATGTGAACACCATAAAATTTTATACCTTTAAGTGACTCTCAGTTTGTATTATAAAATGAGTATGAACTCAATAAATTACGCACGGGGGGAGAGATACTCTACAACATTTCTTAGACGAGCCTTCAATCAAAATACAACTTATATTTAAACGTTTCTGTTCCTTGAAATTAAGGTAAAAGCAGTATTTATTTTACGGGCAAATGAAATACAACCCTGTGACGCAAATGAAATTCTACATTTAAAAAAAGGCACAAATGAAATACTGCATTTTTTCAAACATTGGCGCAAATGCAATGCACCCGATATTCTGAATTACAAGACATTGAATTGTCTACCGTAACGCCCATCCTAAGTTCAGAGAACCCCAACACTTCAATTGGAAACATAACTTAAAAATAAAAAAAATATATGGATTCAATTGAGGACTACGCCAGAGCATGAACTAAACGAGAAGAAGCTGAACTGGACACTTTGTCAGAATGAGTCAAAACAGTCAGGTCTCTAATAAAACGTCGAATTCATAAGTTGAAAAACTGTGTGAATGATCGACCAAATTCCGTTTTCTGAGACAAAAAAGCTGTGAAATGTCTATCATCTCTATCTTCACGATAGATATGTTGTTTTTCCTGCGGACAAAGTTTCAAATATTATTGTCTTTGTATGTAAATCGTACTACTACGAGTGTCTGGTAAAAGAATTAGGAATAAATTAGCACTCAGGTAATCCCTCATACAAAAACATATTATTTGACAGGGATGAGATTTTGGCGAATCATTAGTCCTTCATGGCTTCAATGAACATTACATTGAACAGCAGCAAATCTGAGGACTTACCTTGTTTGTACTGGATACCATAGCTTCACAAAATTCCATACAAACAACGGTACACTGCCGGCTCATCTGCATGTTCTACAAAGGAATTGTCCATTAATTAGATTGACAACAATTCTGTCCGCAGTGAATATACTGTAAAATACTGTAAAACCATATGTGGATTCTAAAAAACTCTAAAGAACTTCTGGATAATTTTAAATATCGATCTTTCTCTGAAAGTAATTTTATCAAAACTTTTGATTTTTCAACCCTGTATACCACCTTTCCCCATGTGAAATTGAAAAATCGTCAAAAAGAAATAATCCACATGACAATGCTTTTCAATATAAAAATGGTTGCATACGCTATTTTATTACTTTTGGATACTATACGGAATATTTTGTTAATAGTGAACAAAAAGGTAAAACACGCTACACAGAGGATTCCGAACAAATTAAGTGATCAGTATGCTGGAGTTTCTTATTGACAACATATTGTTGAATTTGGAGGTAGACTTTTTTAACAAATTGTCGGCATTCCTATGGGAACAAACTGTGCGCCTCTCCTAAACGGTCTCTCTTTTTTTCATAGGAGTCGCAGTTCCTTCAGACATTTGTCAAAAACAAGAGGATCAAAGAAGCCAGATCATTTAATTTTACATTTAGATATATTGATGATGTTCTTTCCATTAACAATCCAAACTTTACTGATTGGGTTCCATTAATATATCCTCTAGAACTAGACAATAAAGAAACAACAAACACGGCTTCCTCCGCCTCATTTTTAGACTTATACCTCGAATCTCAGTACCAGAATCTATGACAAACGAGACTACTTTAATTTTGAAATTATCAATTCCCCCCCACCTTAGTAGCAATATACCATTTTCACCTGCATATGGGATATACATTTCCCAATTCATTCTGGTATTCAAGAGCTTGCAGCTACTACTCAGACTTAATAAAACGTCACCAGTGTCTGAGAAGAAAGTTGATGAACCAGGGTTCTGTCAAAGAACGTCTCGTCCTTTTTTTAAAAAAGTTCATCGGAAGATACCAAGACCTTGTTGATAAATATTCCGTATCAACTTCACAAATAATACCTGATGGTCTTGACGTATACATTCTAGGTACTGACGTTGTTTACCATCTTAATTACGTGTTATAGTGTTCATTTATTTGTCTTTGTAAATTATTAACCTTTACTGTTAAGTCCATTTTTGGGGAAATCCTTTTGGCGTGGCTCGGTACGTATACATCCCGCCATTGTGTTATTGTGCTATTTTCATTTTTTGTATTCTTGTCTCTCATTTTTGCTTATGTGCTTTGTCTATATGCCATGTTGTTTTTCTTTGTTGACATATTTGTTTGTTTTTATAGTGATTAAGATTATAACACAATGTTGACTGCTGTACCCTTATTTTTGACGTTTTTACCTATGATATCTGTTTGTTTAAAAATTTGTTCACACATTGTTGTCAATATAATGGAATTTTAAGCGACTATCATACAAGTGAGAGGTTTAGGTTGCCTCCCCTGATTGTCCAATTTTTTGAAATTACAGGTATAAAAGTGATGAAACTTTGTGGGACAATTGGGAAGTTTAAATGTGGGACAATTGGGAATTGTTTTGATAGTAATTAAATTGTTTTTATAGTGTGTAGCAGGTAATTAAAGGTAACTAACCATTGTAACTTATAAAATAAGAAATAAACATAACCAAATAATAATATTTACATTTTTTTTTTGCATATATTAGCAACAAAGTATCATCAAACACAGACTATAATATGTATTTAGTCATAAAATAGCACATATCAAGCACTTCTCAATTCTACATTGATATATAATAAAAAGAGTTTCACTTAAGCACACATAATAAACAGCTAAATACAATAAAGTACACACAATAAACAAATTGATTCATTACATTAAAGCACACACATGACACATGACACGAAGAGCAGATACTATTAAGCACGCAAAATGCATAAGGTACAACAATAAAGCACACATAATTCATAACTTAAACATCACAATACATCATATAATTTCAACAAACTTAGTCAAAATGTAACAAATAAATCAGAAGCAATGTCAGCATACTGAAACACAATAACTTCACTATTCTGAAGATGGTTTCTGTAGGCATTGGTTGACGTGTTTGTATTTTGTTCTATATGTTGGTCCTACTCCCCAATCTTGGTACTGAATGATAGTCATTTCGTTTGCTGCCTGCTCTTCTTTAAGATAGTTCAGTATCTTTTATACTATGTTTGGGTGTGGTACTTAGACCATCTTCTTCAAGCTACTGTGCCATCCATCGAGGTGGTTTTTCGTCCTTGGTCCTTCGGTTTGGTAATGGTTCCATAGCTGCCTGTTGCTTTCAACCCAGTATGTTGTGACGTTATCCGTAAACGAAGTGATATTTGCTGTTGAATCCGAATTTTCCAGGTCTTCAAGTGTATGGAACCAGACGTCGTCTATTTCTGTAGGTGGTACCAGAGGAAGAACTGCTGCCGACCGTATAAGTTTATGAATGTTTGGTTCTCCTTTATAGTTAAGAGACGAGTCTAGTTTACTGCACTTTTTGCCAAATACACTGAGTATAGTGAAACAAAATGTCCTTCAATAGTTTTTCCTGGAAAGGATGCTCTAGCAGAATTCTGAACAGCAGCTTCGTAATCAATGAAGAAAGTTGTTGGGTTCAGGTTAATCTGACGTTTTAATTTCATTTTAATTTAATAATATTTGATTGTATTAATCAAGCAATAGGATTGGACACAAGTTATAACTTATATTAAGTCATCTCCTTACATATACAATACACATATATGATGACAGCAAACACATACATAGTATAGCGACAGTAATAAAGGAAGGAGTCACACATTGGCATGGCAACAAAAAAAAAGCAAATATGACAGAGAGAAAAAAGAAAGCTGCTGACTTAGAACGTTAAAATCTTTTTGACTGTTTAATGAAATAACGAACTTTATCAAAAATTTTAGAGTTAGTTTCGTAATTATATGCATCTTTTCCAAACAATAGCGTTTCAGTATCAATGTGTATGTTCATATGTATAAGATCATTAACCAGAGATATTCTTTGTTTATAAAATAATTGGCATTCTAGAAAGTAATGGATGGCATCTTCAACAGGAGAACCGCAGGAGCATTTAGAATCATTGCATGTAATATTTTTAAATTTATTTAAAAACTTTAATAAAAAAATGTAATTAAAAATACAATACTGATATTTGTTTTACAAATAAGAGTAACATTATATTTTATAACTCAGAAATTTTATATTATTTCATCAAAAGTGCGTTAATGTGATGATTTAAAAAAACATGTTTTAATTCTTGTTTATTTAGTAAAACAAACAACAACTACCTTGTTTATTTAAGAACATTTTACATAATAAAATAATGTGTGACAATCATAACTTTTCATGTGGGACAATCAGAACTCTAAAATTTTAGAAAGTGGGACAATCGGGAATAAACCGAGGTTTATGTAGCTATAAAACCAGGTTTAATCCACCATTTTTCTACATAAGGAAATGTCTGTACCAAGTCAGAAATATGACAGTTGTTTTTATTCGTTTGATGTGTTTGAGCTGTTTGAGCTTTTGATTTTGCCATTTGATAAGGGACTTTCCGTTTTGAATTTTCCTTTGAGTTCGGTATTTTTGTTATTTTACTTTTAAATATGTGGTAATTTTTGCCCTATACAGTGTCTCTCTATCCACTATAGTTTCCACACACACAAAAACATAAACTGTTAACACAGATATATTTCTATCCTTTTTGTTATTTTGATAGTAAAATGCAGTATGGAAATGAGATGTTGCAATGTTAATACAACTGCATTTCAAATATCACTAACCTACCACTAGGGTTCCCCATAAACTGACCTAATCATAAACTGATAATGCAAACAAAGCAAAGGCTTCAAAGTCAATCGATTATGACTGAGAGATCGAGGCCAAATAATCTCTATGGCATTGAGATGTGCCAATGCTTATACAACTGCAAACCAAATATCATTGACCTTTCACCAGTGGTTCCCCATACACTGACATAATCACAAACTAATACATGTAAACTAAGCAAAAGTTTCAAAGTCAATAGACCATGACTGAGGGAGAGGGACCAAATAATCTCCATGGAAATGCGATGTGTCAATGCTAATACAACTGTATACCAAATATCATTGACCTACCATTAGTGGTTCCTTCAAGGCGAGACAAAAAGGGGCAAAAAAGGACTGTTCAAGGCAATAACTCCTTTAATAATGTGACTGTCGATTTCGACCATGTGAATTTGATAAAAAAATCATCTTTCAAGCTCAATAACTCATAAAAGAAGTCAACTGACGATTTCGGTTATGCAAACTTATTTGCAGATAATTTTTGGGATTTACAGTTTCCCTCTTTCTCTTATAGTTTTACAGATAACACCCAAAATCGCCCCAAAAAAGGTAAAAATAAAAATCGTCATTTAAGGGCAACAACTCTTATCAGGGGACGTCTGACAGTTTTGGACGAATGAATGGAAGATAGTTCTAGACATTTTGAACATTTTTGTTCTATCAGACTTTCTCCGTTTATAACGGTTTACAAGATAATAGACAATACTTGCATTTTACCCCTTTGTTCTATTTTTAGCCTTGGCAGCCATGTTGGTCGACAGACAGGATCATCGGACACAATTTTTAAACTCTAAATTCCCTAAGGATGATTCTGGCCAAGTTTGATTCCATTTGACCCTGTAGTATCAGAGGAAAACATTTTTTTGTAAAACTAAACAGACGAGGGCAGACGAGAGACTTGAGAAACAATTGGAAAAGCTCACTCTATACGTTTTGCTAAAATCAGAGACTATAAAATAAATTTATGTTTAAATACAAAATATGTGCCTTGACAGATGTAGAAGCTCTGCAAACAATTCCTGAAGTCTGAAAATAACTAAATATGCTAAATATAAACTTGTGGAATTGAAACGAAATGTATGTCCCAACTTTTGTTCAGTAGTAAACCTGCAACATAATAATGTATGCACGAAAATCCCTATAATTGTTTTATTTGTCCTATAGATTTGCAAAATAGATTTAAAATTCCTGCACTGCTGTTTTCTCATTAAGCAACTTATCACCAATTGTTTTACTTTTTTCATCGACGACCATGAGGGGGTCTTTAACGACCTTGACTACCCATGAGGGTCTTGCACGGTCGGTTCATCAACAAACTCAGTTCTATGTAAACTAATTGGCTCTGGTCTTATTTCCTGTAATTCAGTAATTTCATAATCTGTTTCTCCTGTACACATTTTACATGGTAAGGCATCTTTAAATCTGTTTCTACAGCGTGTATTCCTACATATCACAATACAAGTAATTACAAATATGGATACACATGCTATTGGGCCACCAATAATTGCCCACTGTCTGTTATTTTCTACAAAATATATAAAACTTTAAGTTAGATTATATGATGACATTAATATTAAATCAAGGATCATAGTAGTATAAGCTGTATGAAAATGTAACTACTTGTAGAGGTAAGTATTTTTTTTTGTATATATTTTAAATAAAACGAGCGACCTCAGGTGGTTTCCGCTGTTCTGTTTAGGCTTCTTCGTTTTTATACTTCAACGTTTTTATATTTTTTGTTTTTCAACTTTTTGGTCCGAATCGAATCGTATCAACGGAATGCAAATCTCATAATAACATATATCATATTTGCGTGGTCACGTGAATTTCAGTTCAATCATTTCTTTTTCAGCAACTGCGATGACTTCACGAAAATGGCAGTTTAAAGGAATAGTAGTACCTTATAATGTATTTCATGCAGCTAAAAAATATTTTATTGATATAACATGTATCCAACTTGTATATTGTACGTTCTCAAAGATTGATATTTCAGGACTTCCTAACCAATTTTATTGGTAAAGATGAAAAAACGTGCATAGGAGATGACGCTGACATGACACGAAGAAATGTATATTGAAAAGTAAGTTAACATGATATAGTAACGACTTTCTACGGCAGCGTATAAGGGAAAGAGAAAACATAAATTATCATTGACCGTTTTTTCAAATTCAAAATTTTGACATTTAAATCTTAAAATTTCGACTTAAACTTGAAATTTCGACTTTTTAAATCTCGAAATTTCGACTTTTTAAAACTCGAAATTCCGACTTTTTAAGTCTCGAAATTTCGACTTTAAACTAAAATTTTCGACTTTTAAAATCTCGAAATTTTTACTTTTTCTAATATAAACTGTAACAATAGTATTTAACCACAGCAATTAAGATTACAGAAGGAAGAGACGTTGGTGCAAATTACTAAAGCGTCATTCCAACATTATAGCAATTCAGATTCAGAAATTGTCGAAATTTTTGTTCTTAAATTATGATATAGACTAGCATTTAATATTGAAGAGTTTTACTTCGGAGAGCACAAGTCATGCTTGTTGATAGAAAAAAAAATAAAAATTTGTCGTTGTAATTTTTCATTGATTTAAATAGTTACCACTTGATGAATTTAAAAAGTAATCAGAGCAAATTAGCAGTAACGCAAGAAAATGTTAGTATTTTTTTTAAAGTCATGGACTCTGAAGGATTTAAAATATGATCTTACAATAGCAAATTATTTAACTTATTGTGGCATATTGATTCCTATTGACACCCTACTGAGCAATTACCATCAGATATACTGACCAAGTGCCACAAGATATACTGACCAGATAACACGAAACTCCCTGAGCAAAAGCCACAAGATAAACTGAGCAAATCTGGTTCAACAAAGGATCTACATTGACCAGAGGCAAATGATACGGCTCTGGGCATATTTGAGCAAACAGAATCTCTGACTTGATCTCAATCTTTCTTTCATAGAATCTTAAAAAATTGATTCTTTGATTTGAATTATTTTTTGGTTTTCAAAAGCATGAACTTTCTACAGAAGGTGAACTTCACCCGATATTTCCCAAAATTACATGTTTTAGTTTCCACAACACTGTATTATAGGATCGTCAAGTCTGAGGACATTTTGCATCCTATGTTTTATGGTTGGAATTGGTTGCCCAAAAGCAAGTCACTGACTTCGTCTTGTCTATACAATGGTAAATCAAGTGGCAAATAGTTCATGCATATTCAAGACGACTCATGAGCTGCTCAGTTTTTCTAATTTGGAATGTTGAAATTATATTGATTTTTGTTTTATTTAGAAAGAACTGACAATTGATCACTAATATTTTGTTACAAGATTTCGTACGTTCTAGTTTTCTTCCATTTCACCTTTTAATGTGTATATCCATTATCTTTGGATTCTTTTGTTATTGATATTAGGCAATTAATTGTATTGACATCAAAAGAAATTATTGTCAAGAAAACTTGGCGAGTTTACTTTTAGTCTTACTCAACTGAAGAAAGAAAAAAAAATGTATGTACATTATCCAGTATTACGTTTTTTGTGAGCCAAATTTTAGACGTTCTTGGGGATAAGCATTCCCATATACATAAATTAATATGACAATCTATCATTCTACAGCAACATCAGTAAAATTAGACGTGTGGTAAATGTTTATTTCAAAAAGTATTTCAACCTTTACTTACATCCATAGCAACAGAGCCAAATATGTTGACTTTGAGGTTCTGGTAATATTTTGGCTCATTTTAGTTTTATAAACGCTTGAAGAGTGCCCAAAATCTCAATTTTAATTTATTGTGGTAAGCGATGTCGTTCGATGCAACATTTGACAAGTATAACATGTTAATTGGAAATTTTGTATAATAACATGAAGCGCTGAATAAGTTTTTGATTTTCTGGTAATATGAAAAAAATTGTGAAACACTAATTATAAGTATATGATATAATCTCTCTAATATTCAATTTCCAGTAAGATTTTATAACATTTAGATATTGACCCAAATACAGGTGAAGTTGGCCTACTCCTTTTGACTACATGCAGTAGTCATATCAAAAATTTTGAAAAACCAGGTAAATATGTCCAATTACTAACATACTTATGGAATTTGATGGTTATTCAATGAAAAGATTGTTCTTACTGAGTATGGTAATGCATAAAAGCCATGCGAGGCATACAATAGAAAATTTTGACGAAAAACTAACATTCCCTACATATTTTTTTGTAAATCGACAATCTATCTGTGGCATAACGGTATTCTGTTTCATACTGATAGAAGTACATTTATTTCCTTATATAATGTATACAATAATAAACTGACATTTCTTTTTAAAGCATAAAGTTCTCACGACATTAACCATACAAGCTTTCATTTATTTTGAAGGTTTTCAAATATTTTGGCGACACTGTTATCATTCATATTATTTGATCATTTTTTTCCCCAACACTAGACACTGAGGAAGAAAACAAACTCCCCCCTTGACTTCAATATTGGTTAATTTCAAGATTCTATCCTCCTATCGAAGCCTTATATATCGACTTCAATCAGTTAACATCAAATGAATTTAGTATATAGACGTCATAAACAGTCTAAGACGAAATGACCTTGACAGTGTATAATGCCAAACTAAAAGAATCAACAGGATGTAGAACCATACGTGTTTTTGTCCCATTTGATTATATATGCATACTATTTTTGTTTATTTGTCATCTATATAAATGTGTTACCATGGATAGCGGGGGACAAATCCGTAATCAACTTTGAAAAAAAAATATTTGTAGTAACAGCGACCCTTAACCTTGACCTGTTAGTTGGGAAAACTCTAGCTACCACCTGAAAACTATTTACCAATTTTTTGGACTTTTTTTTAGTACCAGTGACATTCTCCTTTGAACTACTGACCCCAATATCACAAGTTTTTTTTTCTCCTTCCCTTTATAATTTTTTATTCAATCTGTATAAATTACATTACAATCAAGCAAGGAAAACTTAAGGTAATATCCGGATATCATTTTGCTATTTTCAGTAACAGTGAACTTGACGTTTCATTTCAATCAAACTAGGTGAGCTCGAGTAACTATCCGGAAACTTTTCCAATTTTTTTCTTTCATTTAGTAACAAGGACATTTACCTTTGACTTATTGACCCCAAAATCATAAGGCTTCTGTATCTTCCATCTATATAAGTTTCAAATCCAATTAAACGAGGGAACCCCAAGTAACCATCCGGAAATTTTTTTTTCAATTTTTCTATTTTTACTAAAAGTAACCTTGACCTTTGACCCCAATATAAATAGGCTTCGTCCCTTATTGTATCTTCCATCTAAGTTTTACCTCAACAAACAAAAACTATCATCGGAAAAGCATTGTATCTAACAAACTGACGGAAGGAAAGGTGGGAAGATAGATCGACGGAAGACGAACGAACGGACGAAAGGATTGAAAGACTAACGGACAAAGTAATTATGATAATTTTTTTAGGGAGCACTCAAAACTTGGCTAACCCCGTTTTCTTACGGAGCTGTAAATTTCCGCAACTGCGGTGCTGTCTTATGTGATGCACGATATTATTTTCTGTGTCATTAAATACAAATAGCTCATACAAAGTTATTTCACATAAAAAGGGTTTCCATAAAAATGTGTAATAACAAAAATAACCAACTCCAACGTAAATTCAAAAAGGGGATGTCTATACAAACTGACAAAACCAAACGCTTGAGTGTATCAACGAACGGAAACGACTGTAGCTGCTGTTGTTTGAAGCCCTATGAGTTTGATGTAGTGATTGTTTTTAATTTTGAAATAGTATCAAGAAAAACAAGAATATTGTTCACTCTTCAATATTCACAATTAAACTAAACGTATGCCTGGTCGGAATTTGTGACCTCCATATGAAAATATTGAACACAGTTCATTCAATGTTCAAAATTAAATATTTTCAACATATTTGAATTGTCTAGTACATATATACATATGTTACCTGTAAAATCAAAATGCGCAAATGTAATGAAATATTGCGCGCTATCTTAAAAAATTAATCCCCAAATACGCGCAAATGTATTGTTCCCACCTCTTGAAATTATATACAATAGATACCTTTAACACATGACATAGGCAAAACTACCTCAAATATACTGCACAGTTTAAATGTACTCTTATTTTAAGAGGCGGATCCAGGATTTTTCATAGGCACAGAGGTATAATTCCATAAAAAAAAAGTTTGACGATTTTAGGAAGTGCTTCTCATTTTTTGTAATTTCTTAAAATATTCAAATAGCTGAAACCTGATTTGAATTAGTTTTGTTCTCAATAGAATTTATTACGACTAATTAAATATTAATTCCTTTTAAGTGACTATTAGGGATCAATCTTATGAGGTTTATATTGAAGTATGTGCCAAAAAATAAAGATGAAAAATTATGGGGGGATTGGGGGTTAAAGATTGAAAAAATAAAAGTTTATCTTTGCACTATAAATTTTAATACATCTCCCATCAATTAATCTTCCTCTGAACATATTCTTGAGGA